GTGTTTGGTTACTGAAATACACTTCGGGATTTTTGAGGTCTCGTTTCTATATTATATCCCGAAGTGTTTTCGGTGTTTCGTTATCGAAATACACTTCAGGATTTTCGGGATTCACTTAATCTCATTCTTACGTTATATCCCGAAGTGTTTTCGGTGTTTCGTTACCGAAATACACTTCGGGTGTTCGGGATTTACTTAGTCTCGTTTTTACATTACATCCTTAAGTGTTTTCGGTGTTTCGTTACTGAAATACACTTCGGGATTTTTTAAATTTACTTAGTCTTGTTTGTACGTTATATCCCGAAGACTTTTCTGTGATTTGTTACCGAAATACACTTCGGTATTTTCGGAGTTCACTTCGTCATTTTACTTGATTTGACATGTTACATCCCGACGTGTGTTCGGTGTTTCGTTACCGAAACAGACCTCGGGATTTTCGGGATTTAATAAGTCTCGTTTCTATGTTATATCCCGAAGTGTGTTCAGTATTTCGTTACCGAAATAGACTTCGGGATTTTCGGGGTTTATTTAGTCTCGTTTCTATGTTATATCCCGAAGTGTTTTCAGTGTTTCATTACGGAAATACACATCGAGAGTTTCAAGTACTTAATCCCATTTATGCGTTATATTCCAAAGTGTATTGGGAGGGTTTGTGTGGACCAACTTGAGCGAGGGTGGGTGCGCATGAAAGAGTAAAATGTGTGAAAGAGAAAGAGAGAGAGAGAGAGAGAGAGAGAGAGAGAGAGAGAGAGAGAGAGAGAGAGAGCACATGAGTGCATTCGACTATTTAACTACTAATACTAATAGGCAAAAAAAAACAACTAGCAAAATAAACGAAACAGGAGGAGAAGAGGAAAAAAAAAAAAAAAATCATTGTGAAAATACAACTACAAATCTTTATAAAAAAAAATAATTTTTTTTTTTTTGTAATACTATTTTTTTAATATCTTATTATAGCTCGAAATTGGACCAACATGCAAAGGTTTATGTTTAAAATGGTCTTTGAAGAAAAGGGTCGCGGGTGTGCGTCCTATTTATATATATATATATATATATATATATATATAGAAAGAGAGAGAGAGAAAGAGCACGAGTGCATTCGAGTATTTACCTACTAATACTAAAAGCCAAAAATAAAAAACTAGAAAAAAACGGAAAACAACGGAAAAAAAAAAAAAAAAAGTGAAGCGAAAAAAAAGTAGCGAAAAAAATCAAGCAAAAAAATCCAGCGAAAAAA